GAGTTTTGTTTAATAAACGATAAATAAATTTAGAGTTTTAAAGCAAGTAATTTTAAGAAAAGAGTTCACTTAACTAGAATTGTTTTTGTTGATAATCCCAATGTCAATAAAATTGACCGAATTACCTTGATAAGTCTGATCTGTTGTCTCTGGTTTCATATCTCGAATTTTATTTGCACTTGCATCATCCTTTAATGAGATTGCGGGTTCAACCCGTTCCTGGTTTACAATATTTAAATTTCCTGGTGGTTGTTGATCCAAAAATGGGTTTTCTGCTATTGAAACATTTTTAATGTTACCACTTTCACTTACACTTTAAGATTGGTTTGCTGGTTCAATTTAAACTGTATTTTGTGATTTTTTAAAAAACGAGTATATTTTCTTCGAGTTAATGCATGGTTCTTCGGCCAACTCTTTTCTGTGCCGCCTTTTACTTGCATCAATATCAAACTTTTTTATCATTTTACTGGTATCTGAAAATAATATTGAAATTTTAAAATATAATAAATTTATACATCAATCAAACTTATACAAATTTGTATATTGAATTATGTTTAAAATATTAGAAATTATTTACCAGAACAAAACAATATTACTATTCTCAAAGTTACAAATGTAACGTACAAAACATAACGTATAAAGGGGCAATATATCAATTAATGCAAAATGTTAAGAAACAGTTTAAAATAAATTGATTTAATCTCGTTTGATGAAGTACAACTAAAAAAGAAAAGAAAAAATGAAGCTACTAAAAAGCAGAACTCGTACGAAACAAAAATAATTGATAAAAATAATACGAGATAAAAATAATTGACTTGTATCAATTTGATCAAGCGCACCCAACGGAGGGTTATTTGCATCATTACATGGCGTAAACTTTATCATGTTGGATTTAGGTTTCAAAATTTGTAATTATGAAAAAGAAATTAATTTATTAACTTAAGTTAACTTAAAGTTGTTTAGAGTAATTAGAAATGTAGAATTATTATTTTGATTGTTGTTTTGGTGTTTAAAAAATGTGTTTTAAAAATGTGAGGCCCCAACAAAAGTGGAGGCCTAGGCCATATGGCCCATGTGGATCCCCCTCTGATAGGGCCTAATAATCACTATTTTTATAACACGACTAACAGCATTTACTTGATTGAATATTTTTCACAATTTCTCATTGAAATAATTGTATTTTTTTTGATATTTAAAATATAAAGGTTAAAATTAATTATATAAATGCACTTATAATTTTGCAAACGTGCACTTGTATCTTTGCAAAATAGATAAGACCAATACAAGATGGCGAGAAACATTCCCAAGCCATAATGCTTCCATAACCAAATGTAACTGTTTTGTTAGTGTAATATGGGTCAAACTCTTTATTTGGTGGCCTGTGGACAAACTGCTTACCATCTGATCCAAATATATTAAATTTAGATTCATCTGTCCACAAAAATTTGTCCCATTTATTATTTGTCCATACAGAATATTTATGACATAACTCTTTTCTGGCTTTTATATGTCGTTTTTTCAATAAAGGCACACTTCTAGGTGATCTTGAAAATAAATTAGCTTTTACTAAACGTCCTCTAATTGTTTGTGCTGTTACATTTAATTATAAGTTTTTTTATTGGTGTTGCTGGAGATAAATGTATCATTTTTAGTTTTACAAATAATTAATTTATCTTCTCTATAATTTCTTTTTCTTTTGCGACCTCTAGTTTCCACATATACTTTTGATTTAAGAACGTTTTGAACCATTCTAACAGAACGCTTAGTTATTCTTGAATCTCTCTATGAGACTTTCCACTATTTTTAAGCCGTTGAATCAATAAGAGCTCAACTGAGGTCTAATGTGACTTTCTACCCATAATATCTCAAGTTAAAGCTGATGTATGAATTAAGTTACTAATAGCATACCAGTATCACCATATCATACTTTTAAATGTTAAAAATGCTTACAGATTAAAAGTAAAAAGTAATACCTTCAACTTCAGCAATGTTTTTACTCTAATTGTAATTAATTAACTTAAATGATACTAATATAATATATAAGTAAACTGTTAATAATTAACTGAACATACATAGAAAATTTATTGAACATAATTTGTTTCAAAATACAATATTATTATAAGTACAATGTTATTCAGTAGTGTAGGAAGATCATATACCAGTTTGAAGGGGAGTGGCTATAACAGCTGGGGCTGGAGATCTAACGGGGAAGGGTGTGCGAAGTGACCCTCCTCTCAATAAATAAGGCTACTACTCCCTCCAAATTTTCTTACTACGAGGTATTAATAATAAGCGGAGTCAAACACATATTTTAAAAGTAATAACAGTTGAAAATTAAAGAAAACATAATAAAAATTGAAATAAACTTCATTATTTTTTTTTTAATATATTTTTTAGTAATAAAGTTTACAAAAACATTTAAACTAACATCATTTAGCATCAATTATTGTAAATAAAATGCATTTTTCTAAATGTTTAGATTCTGTATTTACTATTTTTTCCACCACTGTATATATATAATATATATATATATATATACATACATATATATATATATATATATATATATATATATATATATATATATATATATATATATATATATATATATATATATATATATATATATATATATATATATATATGTACACACGTTACGCCCTAGGCAACTGTCAAATTTGACATAATGGTATCGCCAGCCAAAATTGTTCTACAGCCTTAAATATTGCCATATTAAATATTTCTCCTAAAAAGTTTTAATAAGAAAGAAAAAAAAAGTTTTTTTTCCCCTCTAGTTACAACTTTTTACAATAATCTTAACTGCCAATTGTTAAGATTATTTTAAAAACTGTAACTTTTTATTATTAAACAAACATTTTGCTTAATCTACGTTTTCCTAATATCCAACGAGTAATTGCATTTAAACAACTACCAATTATATTATCAAAAAGTCATTTGACTTCTTGAGAATAGAAATTACATATTTGCAGAACTTACACATTTTGCATTTATAAAAATAAAATGTACTATATGGAACAAAGCCATATTAGTTGTAATAGTAAGAATGTAATAGAATGTAATCAGATTCGCACCAGCTTTATTGTAAATTGCAGCTACTAACAATGTATCGTAAGCGTTAATCTACTCTGTTTAAAACCAAAACCTAAGCAATACAGTCTAAAGAATTTTCTTAGACTTATTAAAACATCTGGATCTATCAGGTAAATCTTTATTGTATGAAAAATCTAAATTTGCTTCAGTTCGAGATCAAGTTTACTGGATTTTTGTTGCATTTATTGTCATTTTATCTTTACATCTTGCCTCTATTATCCTCCTTAACGTAACATGCTTGTTCTCCAATGTCTTCTGGAATGATTGGATTATTAAAGAGTGCATCACTCTCATTGAACTGAAAATCACTGGATTTTCAGTTTAATGGTTCGAGACAATGGAGATGTTTATATTTTATTGTTATAGAGCGCCAATATCTTATCTGTGAGATCCATTAAAATATCTTATCGTCAATATCTTATGTCTAGATCCATTGAAAATAAAGTATTTAAAGTTTTCTAACAAACATTTATAACAGATTTGACAACACATCTCTGTTCATCTCAAAATTATTACAGAAACAACTTTTGAAGATCAGCTCCCTATTCTATTGCTTATGATGGTAGGCTACTATCAACTTATGAATCTATGTCAATTAATTCATTTGTGCAGATGTTTTATTTTCGACTGCGATTTTTTTTTTCTCTAAAAACGACATTGATTATTTCGTTTATTGGTATTGGATCTAAAATACGATAATAACTAAACTTTTAACATTGCAATTTTATTACAACTTGTCGCTACGATATATCGTTAGCTACATATAGTAGAATTGTAACTAGCTACAACATATTGAAAATCTGTAGCTCTAGTAAGTCTTTTAAGCATCAGACGGGCACCTAATACTATCAAGAAAAAAAGTTATTCAAAGTATATCATGTTGGGTCTCAAAAGAAGCGAAATTTTATAAAAATTTTAAAAATAATTATCATTTTATAAAAAACATTAAGAATAAAAAATATAACAAAAACTTTTTTTTTAATTTAATTCCAGTATTATTTTATTACATAAAACACATTTAGGGCTGCGGAGTCTGCATATTATATATTATGTAAAATTTGGACCACCCTAATATATATATATATATATATATATATATATATATATATATATATATATATATATATATATATATATATATATATATATATATATATATATATATATATATATATATATATATATATATGTATACATATATATATATATATATATATATATATATATATATATATATATATATATATATATATATATATATATATATATATATATATATATATATATGAACTTGTTTGAAGAATGATATTGAACTTATTTGAAGATGTTGTCACGTTTTGATTGCATGTTTATAGAGGTTAGGAAGTCGGTTGACATACAGGTTTTCAAATCATCATAAAGATAGAATTATTGATGGGTATATTGCAACGATTTACGTCAAATTATAATTTTTTGATAAAAATTGAGGAAATTTTTAAATAAAGTTTTTAATTTTAATAAAAAAAACCTATAAAAATGTAAGCATCATTTGCGCGGTAAAAGTGACGTTTTATAATGAGTGACATTTTTAAATCGGCAAGACATACTCATTTGAAATAAATATTATACTTAAGTTTAAGTTTTAACTTATTTGGAAAAATTTCAATTCAACTGCTATTTATATGAATGGTTTGATAAATTTTTATAAACTTGGAAACGTTAAAAAAAAATTTTGATCAAAAAAAAAAAAATGTTGATATTTTTCATGTTAAAAATATTATTATTTTTTTTAAATTTTATTTTATAAATTTATAAAAAATTTGTAGCAAATTAATAAACTTATTTTCCACGGAACATTATTACTAAATAAACACAACTATACTATACAACATTCCAAAAATAAAACTTGGTTTAACAAAAATGACCTAAATCAGTTTAAAATCATTAATAAAAAAATTATACGAAATTTAATTTACAGGGAAAGGATTTTACTCAAAAAAAGACAACTTCGTTTTATTTAATTTCCATGTGAGACATGGCCACCCCTCAGGGCAGCCATTGACTGTCCCATCAATTTCATGGCAAGTTGATCTGGACGTTGATACTGTACTGTTTGCATCCCGTTATGAAGTTGAGTGTGAAAATTAAACAAATTTTGCTGTCCTTGCAGTGACGATAAAGTTGCGGCAAACACTGAGTTTGTTGGAGATTGTGGTCCTTGCATTACGTTTTTGTTAACCGAAGGAAATGTCATATTTAATCCGAACGATGATGAGTTGGCTAAGCTGTTAGTTCCGTTTGGAGTAAGACTAACAGCTTGTTGAAATGGTGTACCGTCTGACAAAACCCCAATAAAGTTATTAGACCAATTGAAATCTGTATTGTTTCCTAATCCATTAAGGCTATTCTGCGTTATGTTTCTATCGCTTTCAAAAGTTGGAGTAAAACAAGATACACCTTGACCATTGAGATTTTGCAAGCCAGATAAAGTGTTCATAGTATTATTACCGTTTACCATGGAGTTCATGGCATTTAAAGTAGCTAGCGAGTTCACGTTATTTAATCCGGACGTATAAGCATTTAAATTAAGACCATTTAATGTGTTTGAACCATTGGAGTATTGAGCGATATTTTGAAACGAGTTTATTGCCCCATTTATTTGATTTAGAGCTGCAGCCATACTATTTGCAGTTGCTATATTGTTTGAGTTTGGAAAGACGTTATATTTATACCACGTGGGTGAGATTTTCTGTTGGTTTATCCATTGCTAAAATATAAGATTATTTTGCAAAAAAATTACGTAATCAATCAGCGAAGTAAATGAGGATACCAACAAAGTAATAAAGATGAGTTCATTTTATAAATGATTTATTCCCTTTATTCGAACATAAACATATAAATAATTTTAAATTTTTATAATATTATTTTTATACATATCAATTTGTATGCATTTATTAATAAGAAATTAAAACATTGTAAAACATACTTCGTTTAAAGGGCTTTCACTGTATCTTTTCACTCTCTTCATATCCGGGCTTAACGAGTCTGTTCGATTTCTTGATAGTTGCCTAACTTCCGATTTTATGTTATTGTTTTCTTCTTTTCCGATTTCGCCCCTCATAACTGATTCTTCGATGTGTCGTTTTAGCCCTCTATTATCTAATAAATCATGGTTATGTGATGATAAATCATGGTGAATATCAACGTCGTTTATATGATGATGGTGTGAATCTGAATTATCGTGAGATAAACCAAGTTTTACCAGCCGATCATCTGGAATTTATAAATATATACAAAACTAATAAGAAAATTCTCAAAAGAGACACTTATGATGTATTATTTTTTTAATTTAAAAGTTTTATAAAAAGAGATGACGGTCCTTTAAAAGTTTTATAAAAAGAGATGAGGGTCCTTTGAAAGTTTTATAAGTTGGATTAGAGTAGATATTTTTGTTTATCATTTATATATATATTTTTTTAATTTACACTATTCTACTTTAAACTCTCGTTATATGTAAATTTACAAACAACATTTACACTATTTGTACATTTACTTACAAAAAGTTGATCAATGTTATTCAAATTTATTACGTTCTAAATATTATTTTGTATATTAAGTAAAATTAAACAATAATTTGATAGAAGAAATTGTGTAAAATAAAAAATTTCACATTACAAAAGACTCGTTGTGAAAAGATTAGATTAAAAAAATATCATTTTATAACTACCTTAAGGTTGACAAAAAAAAAACAGCATTAGATACCAAACCTTTATGCAACTATAAACTTGTTTTTAATAACTTGCAACTTGCAGTGGCGTAGAAACGAGAAAATATGCTGAAAAAGGAGTAGGAAGCAGATTGCAAATCGGGTTCTACTTACTTATTTTAGGTTTAGAATATAAATTTTTTTTATCTTTTATACTTTCGGTTATCATAATTAATTCTAGTTTTCTAGTAGAGAGCCAGAGGCGTCCCGAGTATAAGGGGCGTAGGCAGGGCTAACCCACTTAGGAAATTTATTAGTCGGCAAATTTGGACTTAATGAAATTAGTAGGCAAAATTGGATCTATAGTTGGCAGTCGACAAATGTTATTCAACGTTTTAACAAAAATGGTAGTCTATTCTTTTTTTTAGATCTGAATACGCATAAAAATTTTCTAGGTCTTACTCGGCAAAAAACAGATACTTAACCCCCCTTCCTCTTCCTCCTTGATGATCTTTTCGGGACGGCCCTGCAGAGAGCGCAGTTAAGAAGTGTATTTGTAGTACAAGTACAAATAACATCGGTGATCTTAGTAGCCTTGATAACAATATATATATATATATATATATATATATATATATATATATATATATATATATATATATATATATATATATATATATGTATGAACGTAAATGATGAAAATCCGAGGGTAAACTTACATTATTTTACATAATGAGCCCGTGAAAGGAGGGTCTTATCTTATAAAACTTTCTTTTCTTGGCTACGCCACTACATATTCACGAACAATCTATCTTTAAATAAATTCTAAATAGTAAATTAAAATAACGCAAATGCCTCTACCTTCATGATAATTATCATCTTTCATATCTCCGTTAATAATATTAGAATTAGGCGATATATCGTTTGATTGCATAGCATGGTGGGAATGCATAGAAGTTTCTTCGAGTGGGGGTGGTAAGTCGTTACAAAGTCTGTTTTGCATGGCTTGTTCATGAAAATGCTGATTAGCCATGTGCTGTAAAGCTTCGTTATTGGTTTTATATTTTCTATCTGGGGAGAGTTGATTTACTGGTAAATTTATTAACTGTTGTTGCTGCTGTTGCATAGGGTTACTTAACATCGGAAAACCAGTGTTAAAAGCAAATGGAAATTGTCCGTAATTATTTTGATCTGGCTGGTTTGAGGTTATAGCATTAAGACCATTAAAAGGTCCAAAATTTCCAAAAGTAAATCCGTTCATCATTCCAAAGCTATTGTTTTTTGAAAGTTCTTCTTGCTTGTATTTTGCTTCTTTAGTTTCTTTTTCTGCAGCGTGGTTGCGCAGTATTCTATTAATAGAACTTACGCTAGGAACATTGCCGTTATCGCATATTCCTTCTGCTAACAACGAATTACGAATTTCCCAAGCAAACATGCAAGGGTTTTCCTCTTTTAATTTGACAATTCGACATACCACTTTTGGCGTTGCAACTTTTGGCTTGCTGCCTCCAATAGCTCCAGGTCTTACTGATCCTGTTTCATAATAACGTCCAAGAATTTTGCTAACACAGCCATGAGAAACTAACAGTTGTCTAGAAATCTCTGAAGGTCTTACTCCGCATTGCGCCAGTTCTATAATACGGTGTCTCATGTAATCAGGTAGAGGTCGACCATTGACAAACACTCCACCCAACTGATTCACTCCGCCAGGATCTAAGTTATTAGAAACATAGTTATATGCATAACATTTAACTTTAATATAAAATATAGCTAGTAAAATATTGACTCAACTTTTAGAGTTTTCAACTAACAAAAAATGACACAAAAAAGTAAAATTTTTAAATATGAACAAAGCTTAGTCATACCATTTCACAAAAAAATAAACGTTTTTCTCAATGATTATTATTTTAAATGATATCAAAAGAACTAGTTACTCGCAAAAGAATTTTGCGCATTTACTTAGAAACTACTGGATCATCATCTAAAATTTTTAAACTAGCTTTTAAACAAGTCAATCAACTGTTTTTTCGGATTCTTGAACATTGCAATCCATTTATTGCATGTCAGGATTTGTAAGAAAAAAGGGGTTTGAAAACAAAAAGTCGGACTCAAAAAAATTTTTTCACAACGCAAAAGTTGATGAGGGGTGTTAAGCCAAATGTTTGAAGTCTCGCTCAATATAAGCGAGATATAAGGTTTCGTTAACAATATAAATATATATAAACAATATATATATATATATGTATATATATATATATATATATATATATATATATATATATATATATATATATATATATATATATATATATATATATATATATATATATATATATATATATATATATATATATATATATATATATATATATATATATATATATATATATATTGTTTATATATTTATATTGTTAACGAAACCCTCCTTAAGTTGAGTCAATTTTTTCTTAGCTCTAGTTTATATAAAGAGTTCAATTCATCATTAAAGAATAATAATAATAATAAAAAAATTGGTTGATAAAGATAAATTTTAATAAAATGTAAAGACAAATGACTCTAATTTAATTATCTAATTATTTTAACTTCATATAACTTATTATGATAATGATGATACGAAAGTAAACGCGACGTAAACATCTTACCGTTGACAGAAAATTTGGTATCTTGAAATGGCATCGCTAAAGGAGAATAAAAACAGAAGTTTTTATATAATAATCTAAAATTAAATAAATGCTACATAAATATAATTTAACTAAATTATTAGTAAATAAAGTAAAAAATAAAATAAATTTTTATTTTTTCATCAATCCATCCACGCAGCTCTAACGCACTAGGAAATAAGTCCTGATTACAATATACTTTGTATTCATTTTAATTAGAACACTTACTTAATAGTATAAAGTGTTATATTTGTTTCATAAGATAAATAAGTTTCAAAGAAATAAATTAAAGTAAAAATGTTGAAGGTCTTCTACCTGTTAATCAAATACAACGAGGAGGGCGAGGGGGGGGGGGTTCAATCTTTCAAGCTATGTCAATTTTGAAATTGTTTTTTTTTAAGAGTTGCAGTGTTTAAATATTGTTTTATGAAATGAATTTTTTATTCGCAAACTTAAGTGGTTTTAAATAGTTTAAACTATCCTTTGATAACAATTTGTTACCTTACTGATATTATGAAGTTTTACTTTAGCTATAACTTGATGATTACGATTTAAGCAAATGTATTATTATAAGTTATAAAATCTTTGTTGTTGTTTATTGTAGACAGTTGTGTGAAAAATGAAACTATATCGCAAATATGCCATGAATATTATTAATACTAATAAAATATTACATTCTAACAATACAACTAACTAATAGTTTTCATAAATTAATTAAAAGATTTAATTGTATTGAAATTGCTACAAAAATAAAAAAATCAAAACAACAATAAAATCAAAGTCATAAATTTTTCATTATAATATTTATGTATAAGGCATATTTAAAAACTAAATTATTTGTAGAAAGAACGTCCGCTAAAAAGCACAATGACTCAATTTGGTGAAAACAAACGTTTATATATCTTAATATAAATATCTATAAATTCGATTATTCGTATTAATACCTCTTTAGCGATATTATTTGCCAAATTTTCTATAAACATGACATCATACCAATGACTTGTGTTTCCAATATGGTAAAGTATTTTATTTGTTAGTCTAGTAGATGACTAAATTATTCAAGAAATATAATATATCAAAAATATATTTCTTGTTTAAATTACAGTTTTAATTATTATAATTGGAAACAAATAATTTCACTTTTATTAAAAGTATAAACATTTTAACGAACAAAACCCTGAATTTACTTCTAATAAATCTTGTGAGCTCACAAACTCTAGTGAATAACCAAATAAATAAAAGGTCACACACAAAAGAAAAAAAAAAAAAATTCGTAAAATACTGCCTAATGTTAAATAGATATTCAAGATAATTTTATTTTTTTACCGGTTATCTTAGGCATGCTTTAAAACACACTTTCCGTACATAAAATTTGCTGCGCCTTTGAAAGGCGCAGTAACTTTCGATGATCTTTTGCGGGTTAAAATGCCGCAAAGGATAATACTTTTTGTAACGTACATACCTTAATTGAAAGCTCTGGAAATGTGAAACTAAAGTTGATTGTAGAAACTAGTAATATTGTTCTTTGATTTAAGGAAAAGCAAAAAAAAATTTTTAAACAGTTGTCAAATTAAATCTCTCTTGTTCCCAAACTTTGTTAATGTTATCCTTTGACCACCTTATGCCACGTCAAATGCCTTGCGCATTGATTTGTTCTGTAAAATATGTAAAAAAATGTTGTTTAATGCCTGAATTTAAACATGTTTGAATTAAAAATGCGTGTTTTTTGCGATTACTTTTTAAATTTTTTTTCATTTCATTACATTATTTTGTTTATTTTATTGTTATGAATGTTTTTTTACATTTTTTTTTTTTTACTATACTTTCTTATTATTTTTTATCATCATTGTTTTCGCTATTATTTTACCTAATTTTATATATAATATAAATATTTTAGATATTTTAATGCATTTTTCACACTCACCCCCCTCCCCTCACACCCACACACACACAGATTTGTAAAAAACACTTATCTAAATTTCTTCTTCTGCCTGTTTCAGCTTCATCAGGTTTATCAGGAAGCTTTCTAAAGGTCCTGATGAAGGTGAAACAGACTGTATTTTCCTCATAAAAATCCTAAATAAAGTTGTTCTTCAATAATTAATAATTTAATTAATAATTATAATAATAAATATAATTGTAATAAATAATTGAGGAGCAACTATATTTAGGATTTGATTACAAATGCAGAATTTTGAAACAATCTTAATAAATTTCTGATTTATCTTAAAACCTAGTATAAGTGGGTTGGTAGCTTTCTGCATAACGTCGCCCAATGATCATAGAGTAGCTCCTCAGCTTAAGTTTTCCCTTTTAAACGGCTGTCACTATTACAATATTGGTTTATTATAGTGACAGCCGTTTAACTGTCATTATTACAAATCGAATTAATAAGAAAAATGGAGTTTTCATAAACAGTTTATATTCTTAAAATATAACAATTATTCCTTGTCTATTAATAAAGCGTTCACTATTTAAGTTATCCTAAAAAATAAAATTAAGATAAATTAAAAATGATAAGTAAAATAAATAAATGGCAATTTAGTTATTTAGATTGTTATAAAAACTGCCTCAACCCTTAGAAGTAATTTTATAATTAACAAATATATTAAAATAAATTAGATTTTAAACTAGATATTAGATAAGATATGAAATTGAAAAATGTCTTGTAAAGTTAGCTTGAATTATTTTTTATGTGAGAAACTGACCCTATTTTATGCTTTGCGGGCGTAAATCATAGACGGTCACAGAACCAAGTGAAATTGTTTATTAACGCCTTAACTTATAGAAACAAAAAAAATCATGTTGAAAATGGTCTCCTTTGTTTAATAGTAAATTTTTTTGGGTAGTTGATCGTTTGGTGTAATGATCTTTCCTTTTCAATTTTTTATAAATCGTATTTTTTAGATAAACAAGTTGGTACTTGCCGTAAGTTTTGAAAAATTTAACCTGAGTTTCATTTCCGGATTATTAAAAATTTAATTGATTTTTGTTTTTCCACATTTCTTTTAGATTTATGTATAATATATTGTTATTAATGATGCTGAATATTAAAATAATGCTGGCTAACAAATAACCGGTAACGAATTTTGCGAACTAACTACTAGAGCAGAGAGTTAAAACGTGAAATATGGTCAAGGACGAAAAAAATGGTCGAGAAAACAATTTTTTTTTTCTTCTTTGACAGCCGGACAGCATTTTACATAAATTTTATATAAAAGTTTAAAACTAAGTTTACTTAACTTTGAAAAACGACAATCTAAAATCGCTTTTTGTATAAATGAACGAATATTTATAAATGAATGAATATTTAAAAAATCGTTTATACAATACTACATTATAAATTTAGATAAATTTAAATTTATAATTTTTTTAGTATTCATCTTTATTAATTAGATTAGTTTTCAACATCATAATTCTTACTTACTTTATTCAAGCAAGTAAATTGTCCTTTAATTAGTTTAAAAAACACACAAAAAAACACACACACAAATTTACGAAGTACAACAGAGCTTGTGTTGACTCGTTATTATTTGCGCAGTGAATTGTGTTAACTGTGTGCTGGTATCACGGTTGCATATTAGTTCATCTCGCCATCAATGATCATCTGACCAACGATGGTAAGTTTCAATGGGTTACCCAGCAAACATTTAGACTAAAAAAGACGTCTTAAATATGTCTTTTATACGTATTAGACGTTTTTTATACATATAAAAGACGTCTTTTTTAGTCTAAATGTTTGCTGGGTAGCGATCTATTTAGGCCTAATAATAGACAAACAGTGTTGTTGTTAGTCTACTTAGGCAGTGTACATTTTTTTAAGTTTTACTAACAATTCTAAAACCCTGATAGAGTTCCTTGCTTACTTAGTAAAAATAACTTCCAAAAATCGATGAAAGAACAAAGAGGTTAACAAGTTTTAAAATAGAAAAATAAGTTTAGAAAGCTAGATTTCCAGTGAATACGGTACGTATTTTGGGCGTTTTTATTAAGTTTAAACCATCTAAAAACGTCCAAAGAACGTTTAAAAAACATACCGTGACCGCTGGGTTAGAAACGCAAAGCATAATAAAGCAAAACACAGAAAAGCAAAAGAGAAGCAATACTATTAGTGATAAACTACAGCTTTCATTTGTATCTAGTTGACAAGTGTGTTACGCCAACCATATCTAAACTAACTAGCTAACCCATTTAACACTTGGTTAAACTATACAGCCAGCTTGGTAAATAAATTAAGTGATTCAAGTTGCCGAAATTATTTATGAGAGGTAGTCACTTGATAATGTGATGAACTGGTTAACTGAAGTTTATGTAATTTAGTCGCGTTATATTTTATTAGCTAATTTAAAGGTTTTATGAATGATTAAAACGATTGAGCGATATACAAAAAATTGATTATTTACATCAACTATTCGTAAATATATTATAAAATTGTGGCTAAAGCAGTGTTTCAATTTTATTTTAATTTAAGTGTTGTCAAATATTTTTGAAATTCTACTTGAGAATAGAAGTAATAAAAAAAAATAAAATTGAAAGTTGCAAACTGGTGTTTTATGACTTTGCAAACTAGATAATTTTAAAGTTAATTTATTAGGTAATACTTGACATTTTAACTCATTATTTAATAATTGAGGCACAGTAGTAAAAGTGATAGATTGTTTACGACTTTTTCGACGCAAGCGCAATTATAAGCTAAATATAAATCAATACAAGTCTTTTAACTTGCTAAATACTTACATTAATCAAATATTTATGGTCCTTAAATTATATTTTTAATTCACAAAAAAATTCGGTTTGCAGTATTTGCAAATAAATTAACTTATTTTTGTTTGTCTATTTTAACAGTAACATTGTTATTATAATATGTTTTTAATACGAGCTTTATACAAAATATTGTTTAATCTGATTAGTAATATTATTTATATTATTATAGCTTTGATTAAATTTTATTATTGTAGTTGCATTTACTTTAATTAATTTGGTATAAATCATATAAAATTCTGCACTGGATTTTATTTTTTTTTTGATTGCTATTCTTAACCCTTTCCACTTTCTACCTAACCTCCCCCACCCCTCCTCCACCTTTTTTATGATTGATTATGATAGAATACATTATACTGATTCAGATTCATATAAAAACATATATATATAAAAGGGTCTTTAAACTTGAGAAAAGTACTCTAATTTGGTGTTAAAGTATAAAAAACAGCTAATATTTTTTAATAATTTAATACTTATACTTCATCTATTTTGCAAACGTTTTAACTGTCTTCAAAAATTAAGAAGTTACTTTTTTAAACTACGCGACCCGGTTTTTATTGACAACAAAATTAAAACATATTTGAAAAGAATTTTAAGATGTACTTGCATCGACTCACAAATAGGGATTTGCGCAATTAAATGTACATGGTTTAAGTCCAGTAGGCCGAAAGTGGGAGGGGGGGCGAAAGGGACAAGGTCGAAACGGACAAAAAGCGAAAGGGCGGTAAAAAAAAAGCAAAATCTTTTCTGAGCGTTAGATATCCAAGGGGCGCCAAATGAAAAAAAGGTATCTAAAATAAATAAAAAAAAGGTCCTTTGTCTATAATATAAGGAAATTTTGATAAATAAGGGCGCCAATCAGGGTTGCTGTCCCAGGCGGCGTGACGGCTCTCGGCAACCCTGTTTGGGTCATGGTTAGGGTAGAGTCTGAGGTCAATCAGAAATGCGCTTTGCATTTAAGTGTTAATAGAAACCAGGTTTTTTTAATGTTGTTATCGAAAAGAAATTTAATTATAACCGAGTATGAAAAAAATGGTAGAATATTAGCGTTTTTTATTTATGTTAGGTTTTTTATACTTTAACATCAAATTAGAGTACTTTCCTCAAGTTGTTAGACCTATATTTTTATATGATCCTGAATCAGCATAATGTATTCTATCAAAATCATATAAACAGAGGAGGTAGGGGGGAAGGGAAGAAAGTCTAGTCGCGCCAACCTTCACTGGGCGAACTATTTTATTTTATATTTAATCGCTTAACAATTTTGTTATTTTTTAATTTAACTATTACTTAGCAATTTAAGCCGTTGTGCAGTCAACCGTATTATATAACTTTCAGTAATGCTTAAGTGAATAGTGAAAATAAACTTTTATTTTAAATTAAAATAAAAGTTTATTTTATTATTAAAATTTAATAGGTTTCTTGGCAACCATAGAAAAATAAATTAAACTTTAAATCCTTAACGTTAAAATAAAAATTTAAAAATTGTTTATGTAAAAATAAAAAAGTTATAAAAACTTAAATTTCAAAAAATTTCATAAACAATTACTAACAAATGTGAATTAAATAAGATTAGTCAATTTCATACGAACACGTAGCTTGATAATTTCATACAAATAAGTATCTTAACTGCCCTACCTTAACGGGCCTACCTTAACTGGCCCGCAGCAAGCTTTTTTTCTTATTTGAGATAACTTTCAGACATGGAACACACTCTAAATATTTTAAAGTTTATATGTTATGTCAAATAAAAAACATTTGAAAAAAATTGAGGTGACCGTAGGCTGGAAATAAATAAAGCCCTAAACCCTTAGCCCTCCCCTACCTAGCCTATAACGTGAATGCAACAAGTTTGTAAGATATTTTTTTTAGTAGTTTTTACTAAATTTATATTCATCGACAAATATTTTGTTGCACACGAAATAACCACCTACACAATACCCTTCTTGGGAGTTCAGATTAAAAACACCGGTTGAATCTACTAGCTTCTACAGTACCATGTGCCATTACCGCAAAGAAAATTACGTTGAAATTAGAAAATCTCCCGATGCTCTAGATTGTGTTAATTTATTTTATGGCAAGTCAGCTGACGAATGTTTCAAACTTTTCCGATTAGAATACAATAAACTGTGCAACGATTTTATCCCTTAATGTATACTATATTTTGTTAGAATATATGTAATCCTAAATGGTTTAATCGTATAATTAAAGAAGCTAGCAAAATTAAATATTATAAAAATAATTATATTTATTTAAGAAACTCAAATGCGCTTTATCTAAACATAAAGATTAACGCGTTCTTAACAATAAATAAATTTGTATCGTCAAAAAACAAGTTACTATTGCTGCCACTAAATGTGAGCATTCCATTATCTCAAATTGTAAATCAAATCCGAAATCTTGTAAAAGTGTAATTCGTTCTCTTTTTGACTTGAATGGAAATCAACTAGGTGATAAAAAACCAATTGCAGAATGTTTCAATCTTCATTTTTCCAAACAGTTCTCTCCCATCACAAGTAACCTAAGCTTACCAGTATTTAGTATTAGAACTAATGCAATCTGTTATCCAGACGTCAGCTACCTATTCTCAAGCAAAAATTTAGAAGCTTTATTATCATCCCTTGATACTTCAAAGGGTACTGGTATTGATGGAATACATGCTTATGTTTAAAAAAGTTGGTCAGCTAGTTATAGTAGGCTACTTTCACTTATATTTAAATGCTCCATAGTTTATGGTAAAGTTCCATCATATTGGAAGTTTGTAAATATCTTAACAATTCACAAGAAAGGTTGTCGTAGTAATCCAGCAAACTATCTGTTTATTTCGATAAACTTCTATCGTTTATACGGTTATGAAAAAGTTACTTCGCAACTTTATGGAAAACCATTTGTACACCCACAATTCATTATCCTGTCATCAACATAGATGTGTTCAAAATTGTTCGTGCACGACTAATCTTTTAGAAGTAATAGACATTATTACCGAAGCTCTTAATAATTGCTGCTCTGCACTACTAATTCTTTTTGACTTCACTAAAGCATTTGATCGTTTCTCACGCACTACTCTTCTCCTGAAAATAAAAGGATACGGTTTCTGTGATATGATCCTTAATTTGATAAAAGATTTTTCAAGAAATAGAAAACAACGTGTTATTCTTGGTGAATCCCCTTCTGATTGGATAGAAGTATTGAGTAAAGTTCCTCAGGGCTCGGTTAATGCTCCACTTTTATTTTTAAATTTTATTTACAACATGTCTAAGTTTTTATCTAATTTCTGTAAGTTATTTGCTGATGACACTCAACAAATTGCTGATGACACTCAATAAATTGCTGATGATACTCAATAAATTGTAAAATCTGGTGTATAGCAAGTCCAAAAAGATATAGATGTCTTTCTAAATTGGTCTAAAATTTGGGGCATAAAATTTAATATAAAAAAGTTCAAAGTTATAAGCTTTTATGGTGGTTTTTATGTTTTAAATTTTTTGCTTAACTCATCAAACACTCTTATTACTTTTATAAACGTCGATATTGAAAAGTCAGAGTTTATTTCAACAATAAACTTGGTGATCTGATCAAATAAATAATGTAGCATTGAAAGCTAACCAAATGCTTCGTATGTATAGTAAATTATCTGTAACATATTATAAACACACACACACACACACACACACACACACACACACACACACACACACACACACACACACACACACACACACACACACACACACACGCGCACACACACACACACACACACACACACACTGGAAATCAGCGCAAGAAAATTTATCGACAACATATTACATTGGAGAAACCTCTAGACATTTGGCAACTAGAATAAATGAGCACCTTTAAAGTGATAAACAATCTCATATATTAAAACACTTAAATTTATCAATTAATTGGAAAAACCTGGCTCACTGTGATTCTTTTGAGATTTTGGATAATACCCCAACCAAACACAAATAAAGTATAAAAGAACTCCACATTAAATGGGAAAGTCCCTGAATAAACAAACTTCACATTATGCTATAAACTTATCTATTTAATCATACTGTCAATTTATTACTATTTTTTTCGCAGTTGGTTATTTTGATTGGTTATTTACAGAGATATTTTGTAATAGATATATTGGTTTATTATGTATAATTTTTGCCCATTATTATTTCTCTGTAAAGACTTCTATTTCTAAATATTTCTTTCAGAGTTTTATTATTGTAAAATAATTTTTTGAAAAATGTAAATAAATTATACGTAACATGTCAAGAATAAAAAACATATTTTAAAATAATGTGTATGTGTGTGTGTGTGTGTGTGTGTGTGTGTATGTGTGTATTTATAATATGTTAAATATAATTTATTATATATATGTATATATTACATATCTAATATATGTATATATAACTATGACTCATAATCACGTGTTACATTTGCTTAAGAATTCTGGATTCCATATATATGAATATAGAAAATAGGCTAATTTAAGCTCATATAACCGGCTTATATAAAAAGTTATTTAAGGCAATATGTAGGGTGAAAAAACAAGAAGTTTCTGGAATATGAGGATAAAATATTTTAAGAAAACATATGCAGGCTTTGCAAGTTCGACTAAAGTAAACATGTTAATTTTAATAAGTGTTTAGCCTGAGGCTTAGTCTGAGCCATTTATAAATTCAACTGAATTACCACGGGTTAAAGTTATTTTTTTTTTTAAATTGTTTTACGTTAAACGCGATCCGCACTAATTTCATTACACATGATTGAAACAAGGCTAAAACAAATTACATAAACTAGACGTACCGTCCAGAGTTGCTGCTTAAATTTGCTGGATAAAATTTGCTAAATCCTTCAGTGATCAAACCAAAATGTCCCAGTAACCGCCCTTAAAATCGATCGAGGCCAATGAATATAGTTACTTTCAAAGGCAGTTTCAACATTCAACGATTTATTCTGCATAATTATGCAGATTTTAATACGCTTGATTTGGTAAACATTTAAAAGATTTCATTAAGGTGCAATTAATGCAAATGCAACTGCTACGGCTCGGTAATAAATCCGTTTTACCGTGCAAATTTATTACTGTTGCACCATGCTGCTACTTTCTTAAGGTAGAATGCAAAAGAAAGTAAATTGAAATAAGACTTGATCAATAAAGTATTGCCATTTTTAAAAAGAACAATATATAGTTTTATAGTTTATTTTAGCCAATGTAGCTTATTGAAGATTTTTTGCATTTAGATTATTTACAAATTTTATAAAATTTTAAAAAAGTCCTTACTTTATGCCAATATTTCATCCCGTTGTGATTAGAGCAGCCCTTCTCCTCAGCCCTCTAAAGGAGAATATAATGATGCATAGATACATTATAAGTTACTCCTAATCATATTTGACAAACAAGATAGTTGCACTTTGATCTTGTCAAGATTTCTAGATTTAGCAAAACAAACCTTGTTTTATTTAAAAAACATATTCGTGCTAAACGCATCACTGATTATTTGACATGGTTCATTAATTATTTTATAAAATATAACTGATATCTCAAATGTTTTGGTTTAAATACCCACTGTTAAATATTCTAACATAACTAGCAAGCCATTATATATATATATATATATATATATATATATATATATATATATATATATATATATATATATATATATATATATATATATATATATATATATATATATATATATATATATATATATATATATATATATATATATATATATATATATATATATATATATATATATATATATGTATATATATATATATATATATATATATATATATATATATATATATATATATATATATATTTTTTTTTTTTTTCTGTGTGTTTGTGTGTGTGTTCATACTTTAGAAACAATGAAATTAGAAAATTAGCATTTAGTAGAGTATTTCATACCAGACTTTTAAAAACATTAAAAAAAACATGGCAATCAGCGCAAGAAAATTTATAGACAACATATTACATTGGAGAAACCTCCAGACATTTGGCAACTAGAATAAATGAGCACCTTAAAAGTAATAAACAAGCTCATATATTTAAAAACTTAAATTAGTCTATTAATTGAAAAAAACCTGACGCCCGGGACAAACTGTTCCTTTCGCTCCCTTCCTCTTGGCGGCATTGAAACTGCGTAAGGTATTCAATTGTTGAGAACTCTTGTTTATATTTTCATTACTTCCATAGCAGAATGCAAACATTAAAATGCAATGAATATAGTCAACAGAGTGGAAAATCCACTATAAAAGTTTTTTAACATTTTTAACTGGAAAGATACCTCAAATGTATATATATATATATATATATATATATATATATATATATATATATATATATATATATATATATATATATATATATATATATATATATATATATATATATATATATATATATATATATATATATATATATATATATATATGTATATATATATATATATATATATATATATATATATATATATATATATATATATATATATATATATATATATATGTATATAAAATATTTTTCAAAAAGCGTCATAAATTTTAATATAGCAGTCTGCTCCAAAATCAACAACATTCATCCATTCAAATCTCATTCAATCCGGTTCCAAGTTTAATTTGGTTTAAATACAATTATTGGATGACTTCTACCCGTTGATTTTCCAAATACATTTCTAGTAGCACGAGGTGTTAAGAAAACAAGGTAATCTAAATGTATTTGGAAGATAAATGTGCCGCTTTAATGAGTTTATTAGTATTTTTTTAATGAGAGTCAAACTACTCCAGTGTGTCGTTTGTACTTACTTTTCTAATACTTGTTTTAGGCAATGTGCAATAATGGAGTTATTTTAAGACTATTTATAACAAAAAATTTTATTATCATACAAAAAAAAGTTAAGGTACAGGTATAAATCACTAGCTATTAATCACTAGGTATTAATCACTAGCTATAAATCACTAGCTATAAGTCACTAGCTATAAACCACTAGTTATAAATTACTAGCTATAAATCACTAGCTATTAATCACTTGCTATAAATCACTAGCTTTAAATAAAAATCTTAATTCAGATTTACTGGTGTCAAAAAATGCTTTTTTATTTTTAAATTGATAAGGTGCTCCAAGAACAGCTAATGGTCTTGTTACAAAGCACCACGGAAGAACATTTAATCAGGAGGTTCATTCCTTCCTTACTATTGTTGCTTGTTTTTCCAGAGCGGAAAAACCTCAAGCCTCTTGCATCTAAGCCAAAACGAAATAATGTTCTAGTTCATTGTTAAGAATTGCTGTCATAACCGCCATTGGATTGTTATTCAGGCCAGTTTCACTGAAAGCAATCCTTTTATTTACTATCGTTTCCAGATAGCTTCATTTTTGCTTTTTGAATAATATTTCTTTCAACATTTCTGTTAATATTTCTGCTAATTGACATTCGAAAGTTGACATGATCTGCAAGTTGAAATTTCTGCTTACACAAAAAAAAATTACAATTACATTTGTTGAACTTACACTTGAATTTTGCAACACTCAGAATTTCCTTTTCTTTTATTATATATTCTTTTAGTGCTTGATACAACTTCAAAAGTTTCATTTACTTGATATGATATTAATGCAAAAGCCACAAAAGCAACAATTAGATCAAATTGGAAATAAATGTCTTTTCAAGTTTATCTGACCTCTGCTAAAACACTCACAAACCAACTCACAAAACTTCATAATATTAAGATACGTTATCAAGACGTTGCAGGAAAGTTCATCACCTAAATTAAAAACAGAACAGCTTACAAACCTTTACTTTTTCATATTCTTATAGCAGGGGCAGATAGATCATATTTTGATGTCTTAAGTAACTTACAGACATGGAACAAACATAAAGCATTTAAATGTTTATACTTACGTCAAATAAAGACGCTTTGCAGAAATTTGCAATGGTTGGAGTCTGGTAAGAAAAAAGCCCTAAACTTTTGACGACAACTGCGCTAATTATGAGAGCAACAAGTTGATTTTAAATTAGGTTTTATAATCATTGATAAACTTTAAATTTTATACAATAACCTCTTCGCAACTAAAAGTTGATTTTTCTAACCATGCTCCAATTATCGCAAATTCTGCAAAGCATACTTATTAGACATAAGTATAACATATAAATATATAAAGTTTAAAGTATGTCTGGAAGTTAGCTGTCTCAATCATTCAAAAACGTTGCATCCGCTCGTGTAAAGATAATGCATATAATGATATAAAAGCTAAATATAAATATGTATGTATGTATGTATGTATGTATGTATGTATGTATGTATGTATGTATGTATGTATGTATGTATGTATGTATGTATGTATGTATGTATGTATGTATGTATGTATGTATGTATGTATGTATGTATGTATGTATGTATGTATGTATGTATGTATGTATGTATGTATGTATGTATGTATGTATGTAGGTTTGTATGTACGTTTGTATGCATGCAAACCGCCGCGCGGGAGGAGGGGGGGTTACTGGGTACTTTTTACCCGGGCGCAGGATCAGAAGGGGCGCACAAATGACAATTTTTTTTAAATAAAATATATACACAGGGCTTTAATGAAAAACTTTATTAACTCTTAATTTTAAAATATAAGTTTCAAATAAATTGTTGACTCAACAATACAACATTAGCCGAACTCATATCCGAGAGTCTGAGACTAGTTAAAACCGTTACGGGAAAATACAAATATATATATATATATATATATATATATATATATATATATATATATATATATATATATACATATATATATATATATATATATATATATATATATATATATATATATATATATATATATATATATATATATATGTATATATTATATGGAATGATTGCTTCAATGCGGTTAAAAGAGCCACCAAAAAATCCTCACCATCGAGACTTTTACATTATGTGCAAAACAGCGCTAAATGCTTGGGAAATCAGTGTGGAATTAATTCAAATTTAAAAAAATTGATAAGAAACGAAGCAGCCAAGTGGCGTGAAATTTTAAAGTGCATTTTTGATGTAAATCTCTTCTTAGCATCACGCAACCTTAGCTTCAGAGGTATATTTGTGAATATTAGTTATTACATTTATATTGATGTTATAATTTATTTTTTTTATAATTAAACAGAAAGTCATGATTTATATTAGTAATTAAAATCGTCGTTTTAGACTCATCAAAAATGATCAATGATGACGATAACGGCAATTTTCTTGCAACTCTAGAGCTACTCGCAAAGTATAACAAGACCCTTCAGTTACATCTAGAAGAAGATTTTTGCTGTCAATAAGAAGGTAAACAAATACTTGTTCATTATTTGGGTTGGAGTTATCAAAATGAATTTATAAAAGAGCGCGAAAGAACCGTCCACGGGGCCATCATTAAAAATGCGCATAAGACATTTTACTATTAAATTCTTCTCTCATACTGAGCAAATCGCACTTGTTTTCTGCTTTGTCTGCTATGGTATCGATAAAAGATGGGTAGTTAAGGAGCGCTTTCTTAGGGTAAAAAATTTATAATATTTGAGATGACATCACAAACAAAATCAAATAAACAAACATGCTGTTTGCGCATGCTCAAAGTAACTTGTCGCGCTGAAACTTGATTTGCAAAAAAATGTAAACGGAGAATGGGCTAACAAAACATGTCTCATTAAAATATATTTAAGTGATGTGCCTTTAATAATGATTTTATATTGGTCATTGTTTATTTTTATATCTTCAGGTTTTATTTTTTATTTAGATTTTATTAAACACATACAATACATAAAAGGTAAATTAAGAGTTTCATACAAGATAAATTTAAAAAATCTTGGAGTTTTTTTTTTTTTTTTTTTTAACGTGAATCTAACGTGATCTAAGAAACATTTTTTTTAAAAATGTCCTTGAAGAAATTTTTTCTGTTCTTTTGAGTTCCAGCACTCAACTGCACATTTTAGAGTTTGAAGATCCGTATCAGATCGTATCATTATGTTAAACAGAGTTTTGAATCTTATTTGATACAATAAATTTTGAATTTAATTTAAAAAGTTACTCACGGCGTATGAATCAGCTCGATTGGCAAAACTATATTGATTAAGTAGTTAAAAGACCTTATCGCAAACCGCATGTTTATTATATTAATATCAAAACCCAATAAAAAAGTGTCTGCAGTTTTTATTGTGAATTTTGAATAATCTCAAACCAAAGGTTCTGTATTTTGTAAATGTGCAAATATTTGGTATTATCTTTAAAAAGCAAAGTTTACTTTGTTCAAGTTATTAATGTTAGTGATTATTTTGTTATCGGCAGAAATTGCCATATCATCATCGATTTTTTAAATAATTTTAAGACATAAAAAGCGATGGAAACTTTTTGTCCAGAAAGTCTTTACTCGGTATAACTTTTTTTTAGCTTTTTTTTAAAAGTTTAATTTTTTTTGAAAGATTTTCTTTAAATTTTTAACAAAAGCAATTTTTTTTTCAATATGTTAATATGTGTATACCACATGTACGATATTTCACATTTTAGGTACAAATTGTTGTGCGCAAAATGTATTTAAAATACTTGCGGAGCCTTTTAGCAATTTGAGAAATTGACATTTATTTTCGTAATTTTCGTTAATTTATTGTAACAAAACTTTTTTTTACTGTCAATAAATAATGGTAAGGGTTCGGGTTGGTATTTCAATATTAAAAATTGTTTGTGAAACCGGCTTTTTAAAAAATCTAAGTATATTTGAAAATATTGATTAATACTTCAAAACTTGACTAATAAATTAATTAGTCAGCAGGGTTCATCTGAGCACTGCTTGATTCTAAGAGTTTTAGGTTGAATTTCAAAAGACATGAGGATTTTCTTCGTGTTCTATTAATATATATATATATGTACGAACTGAAATGTGTTAAAAATAAAATCGAAAGCGTTCCTTCTTAGTCCAAAATTGATATTTTCTAAAATCCAGAAAATATTGTTAAAAAACAATATCGTTTTTATTATTTTAGCTATCTCTCATTACAAAAATCATAGGAACCCTCATGACCATCCATTATATTTGTCTTCAAAATGTGGTTAATTTAAAATATAATAATACCTTTAATGATTAGATGACTTTACGACTTTTTACTATTTTTGGGTCTGTTATATACATTACATATTTCAAAGCAAAATAAAATTAATAAAAAACCTTTTTTTTTAAGTAAACAAAAAGAACATATATATAATATAAATAAATTGAAAGTTTTGATTTTAATTAGTTTAAATTCTCATAGAGCTGTAGGTAGAAGCAACTTTTTTAAGCTTCAATCCATAGTTTTTGTTAGTCTCTGCGACAACATAGCGCTTCAATGTTTTTGTTAATTTTTTTTGTACAACCTAGGATGTTTGCTCTTAAAAAATTCCAAGAGCTTTCTGATTCCTATTGAAAAAATCTACAAAAATACAAGCGGTATTTAATAAAATGGAACTTCTGAATATTCTTAATATTCAGCAGATTCAATAAACTGCAAGATATCTTTACTGTATGAAGGTTTTAGCATCATACCAATGAAACAAATTGTTATTTGTTCTAAACTTCTGCTAGGTTTCAACGAAGGGGTATAACTGAATTGGTGTTACCAGCATCATTTCATCTAATAATTTAAGAACTTTACCATAGTAGGGTCCATCCGATCCGCCACCATTATAACCATGCTACATTACTGTATTTTGTCAAAAAAGTATTTCAGACCCAAGAATGTTAAGCATGTTAATTAATATTTGCACCAGGTATTAATAGTTTCACAACATATTGAATGTCGTAATTCTGAAAATGATGCCTCAAATTCACAAAGCCACAGCTTTTTTAATGTCCTTTTCTGTTTTCATGCATTGCAATTACTAAATATAGATTTATATCAAAAATCATTAGAATTTTTATTTGAAACTTTTTTACTGGTATAGAACTTCATATTTCATAAACACTCTGTGCACTTAGCAACAAAGAACTTAAATAGAAAAAAGAACTTAAATTTTATATATATATATACTTTCTATATTTATATTAATAGACTTCCTTTAACAGTCAGGGCATGCTCAAACAAAGGCAAGAGATTGTATAACAACATGCTTATACATGTGAAGTTCCAGAAGAGGGATGGTATTAGGAATAAATTATCTGGTTTAGTAACATTATTGAATAGTTGCATAGTCTTATAAGGATACCCTGCATCTTGGTACCGATAGTAATCTGAACTTAACGAGGCAAAAATTCTCAAGCTATCTGATGAGCTTATTGTACCAGTACAGTAACAACAAGTATGTTTTTCACCATGATTATAATAAATTATTTTATTATTCTGAGATTTAATGTTTTAATAGATACTTTTAAAAATTAATAAAGTTAAGCAAAATCTCTTACTGATATGCCAAGAAGTACGTTTATGAGCTTTAGGTCAGAAGCCACAAAAAATTTGAGCTGGTTTAGGTTAATTAATTTAGTGAGCATTTAAAGATTATGTTTATTCTCCTCGACATTACGTTCCAATGCCAGAATTATCACCTTGTTCACTCCTGAGTCTTTCTACTTTGCTCTTTTAACTTTGCTTTATCGAAAATATTCATTATAATCTGAAAATTAATCACAATTGAATAATAATTCATATTTTCTTTTTTTATTGCGTAATATAAAATAGGTTAAGTTACTGAACCTTCAGTAAACCCTGCCCTCCGTCAATTCCAACTCTAACAATGGCTTTCATAGGATTTTATCCATGCAGAGAGCAGATTTCTTGAGCAAGTCTGGTAAGATCTTCAATGTATACAACATCTTTCAAGTTTGAATTTTCAAGTTCTGAGTTTTCAAGTTCATCTTCCTTTTTATTTAAAAAAAACTTTCAAGTTTGAGTTTTCAAGTTTGAGTTTTCAAGTTCATCTTCCTTTTCATTAAAAAAAACAATTTTTTTGTAACTGTAAAACTTATCTAGAACATGAGTCCGCTTCATAACCGTAGCAATTGAATTATTTTCAACACCTAATTATGAAGTACCATACTGTAAAAAGTGTGAGATATATTAAGTATAATAGATTTTTTGAAAAAAAAAATGTACTGTCGTTTAAATTATGTTATAAAATATTTAGACATCTAGATGACCAAGATCTTTCTGTAAATCAAGATTTGCCTGAAAATGTTGTCTCGAAAAACATTTTCAGGCAAATATTGATTTTTCTTGATATCAAATATTGTATTAGTAGAGACTATTTTATTTGTTTGGAGCTTTGGTTTTAATACTACAGGTAACAGTGATCCTCCTAAAATTAGAATAAAATGTTGCAGAAAGTCATTATAAATAGATAAAAATGTACAAGTGGATAATTGAAACGAATTTTCATCCTTTAACTAGAAACTTAAACAGTTGAGGTTATTTGCTCTGACATCTTTTCATCCTTGGAAAGAATAAGATTCTTAGCATTTTGAACAGCTGATGTTCTCATGCATGGGTGTCTAATGCCCTTTCCAACTAGTTGAAAACAATCTGTGCAGAAGGAATTTAATCTTTCAATGCAGAGATTTTTATTTGACTCAATGATATAATCTCTGTAGTTAAAAATCTTGTGACTGCGTTTGTCTGATACCATACAACCAATTGGACATAAGCATTGATTCTCAGTTGGAAAAACTCTTTCTACCTTTATAAGTTACTCTCTTCCACTTTTCCAAATCTCTTCTATCATTTTTACAGGCTTTCTTTGCTGTGAACAAGATTGTTTGTATTTTTAGTGAAATATTTTAGAAAAAATTTAATAAATATAATAAAATATTTGTAAAATATATAACTTTTTGGCATAGAGAGCATTTTTGCAACGGCTACAAAGTTCAGTGCGAAAAGCATTTATATCAAAACTGAATTCTTCGTGTACATAGTCTCGAACTAGTGTCACCAATAATGGCATACTGCGAAGAGAGTAGTTGTCTGTTTTGTTACACCAACAAAAACAAACTGAATTTCTGGACTCATTATGATTTTTTTTTTCCTTGAAAGATGAGCCATTTGGTATGTAATATTTATCTTCTTTTATTGTTAATTAAAATAAATGTTTATTAATTTAAAATGTTATAAAAAGTTATAACTTTTGCAAAATAAAATAAAAAAGTTGTAAAAATTTTTACAATATTTCTAAACAAGTCATCAACCGCTTTTAAAGCATTATTAGTTAAACTATTAAAGATATTATCATATATTAAGTTAACCACATTTTGAAGACAAAAAAAAATGGAATGTCACGTGACTTTCTATGATTATTGTAATGAAAATAAGCTTAAATAATACAATTACTTTTGTTATTCAAACGCTAACTACTAGACTTCAGAAAATATCAATTTTGGACTAAGAAGAAACGCTTTAGATTTTATTTTTAACACATTCCAGCTCACACATACCCGTATTAATAGAATCTGAAGAAAAATCTCATGTCTTTTGAAATTCAACCTAAAACCCCTAGAATCAAGCAGTGTGTGGTATTATGATAAATTTTTTTTAGAGAGCGAGCGCAAGTGCGAGTGTGCAGTTAAAAAGAAGAATGAGAGTAAATGCAAATATACGGGTAAAATTAAAAATAAGAGTAAATAAGGGAGTAAAGATAAAAGTAAAAGTGAAAGTAAAGTCAACAAAAGTCACAAAAAATAAATAAAAAATAAAGATTTTGCTTTATCCAACGCAAGGGACATTTTATTTAATTTGCTTGAGCCATTTCAAAAGCTAGAGCTTTTACTTGAACTGTTGTAAGGCCAATTAAACATATCGGAACAGGTTTTTGGATAAGTGCTCCGTGTTTTTTCTTGTGCAACAGAGAAAATCATAGTGTTGATAATTTCGTTGAAAATTAACAACTGGAAATTGACACTTTTTATAAACCTATGAAGCGCAGACTTAGAAATGCCAGCTGAATATGCTGCTTCTCTAAGGCTTATCTAATTTTTTACATTTTTTTTTGTAGCTATTTAGGTGTTCCCAGAAGTTCTTACGAACTTATCACAGAACATTTAAAAGGTAGTCCAAGCCTCTTTCCGTACTAATGTTGTTTGTTGGGCTAGAGCTGGCATCGAGTCTCGTACCTCTGGGTTCTGAGCCAGAACTCGAACCACTGCGCCACGGCTGCTCTAATCACTGCGCCACGTCTACATAGGCTACAGCAACTTCCAAAAATGTTTTCTGAAGTATGTGGAGTTTCACTTTTTCTTTTATATAAATCTTGAGATGACCTGAAATATAAAGGAATAAAAAATATTTATTTATTATGGTATTAAGGTTTCTGTTAATACTATATCTTATTTCAGACTATTAATAAAATTATGATTTTATTTAAAATTAAAAAAACTTGTATGCATGTCCTTTGCTTTCCAAATGGTTTCAAATTATTAATTTAAAAAGAATTTTTAACTTCTCCAAACAACAATAATGAATCAAATTAAACTTAAGGTCTCTCTTGCCGAATTTTGTTTTAACTTCACTGTATAAGAACTAAAACTAAAGTTAAACGTATCAATATTTTTATTTTGAAAACTATAAAAAATCGTAGCCAAAATGATCTAGAACTTTCCGCAATAGAATAACGCAAAACTGTTAAGGATTAGTTGGACAATTACTTTTGTCTTTGTCCCATCTCACCTTTATGCAGGGCAGACAAAATGAAACTAAAATTACATCGAATTATATTGTTTTGATACAAAAATAGATGTAGCCAAAGTAACCACAACTATAAGTAACCACAATCTAGAGATGAAAATAAATGAATTTTCTGAAACTTTATAATATTAAGTTAAATACACTTTTTGAATTGCATGTAAAAATTTATTCTTGGACGGCGATCTACACTGATTTGCTTTTCATATATCATCACGGTAATTTCTCAACTGCCAAAGTCGTTATTTATGTTTTAAAAAACTAAAAAAAAAAGTTCTCTATTTTTTCTCTTACATTGAAATCACATTGAAAACGATTGAAAAATCTATTTTTAAATTGGTTTAAAATATTGGTGATTTGTTACATAACAAAAGACGGAATAAACTATATATTTAAACCATTAGCTCAAATTCCCCCAAAAAAGAATTCAGCGATTGTGAAATAATCGTAATAATTTGATTACTATTCATAAACTTTGAATATAAAAATTAGATAATGATAAATATTCATTTGATAAATATTCAATGGTAAATAGTAAGCAATAGTTTGCATATTAAAGTGTTTTAATATGCAAACTGTATGACATGTAATATATTATAATACAAAATATATTATACACAACAGGGCCGCCGAGAGAGAGGGGGGGGGGCATTTTGGGCATTTTGGGCATACGTGCCTCGGGTGCCAAGATTATAGGGGAGCCAAAAAATGATAAATTTTTTTAAGTGTCTATACGATGTTTAACTTTTAATTTAAATGTTTTGTGATTTTATATGATGTTTTTATAGTATAATTTCATGAAATAAATAAAAAGTTTATTTAATTTACAACATTGGTTTTCATGTTTACGGTAATTATGTTTAGCGCAGTGAGTTTGCTTTCAGAGAGAACTTTTTTTGTATAGATGCATACTATGAAAGTGACGACGTATTACATTTCGGCATTAAATCTCAAGTAAGTATTAACGTGCCTATTTCAATGTCAATCTATGCAATTGCATCTCAAATGTCAAATCTGCTTATTTAAAGGTGAAATAAGAAAAGAGAAGAAAGAAAAAAAAGGAATAAATTATAAAATTATTTTAATTGATATAAAAATTAAAAAAAGTAAATGTAAAACAAGGTTAAAAGATTTAACTAAGTATAGATTAAAAAAACAAAAACAAATAAAAGCTAAAATAAAAAAGCTAAAATAAAAAAATGTTCGAAAATAGTAAATAAAAAAGGTACGGCAATCAGACAAACTTTAGAGTCTGAGGTAGCGAGGTGGCGTGAAATATTGCTGTATTTTGGAGTAACATTGTTTCTCTCATCACGAAACATGGCGTTAAGAGGTAAACTTTATTTTTACTTAGCTATTGATATTTATTGTATAAACAATCTTTTTTACAGATTCTTGTTTTATTAACAGGTCAAACATCTGTTCTTGGAGAGCAAGAAAGTGGCAATTTTCTAGGAGCTCTAGAAATGATTTCAAACCACATCAAAACGTTAAAAAACTATCTAGAAAACGTAGCTCATCACCAAAAAGAGGGAACTTGAATGCAGGCACACTACCTCTCATGAAAATCACAGAATGAGTTCAGTACGTGAGTGTGCTTCATTGGTTCAGTGTCCCCGTTTAAAGAAAGTAAGAGAAGCTGGATACCTTACAGTCATTATCGATGGAACCCCAGACGTTTCACACACTGAACACATCAATTTTATTCTTCGCTTTGTTCATTTCAGCTTTAATAAAAAAGCTAGGAGATAAAAGAGCGCTTTCTTTGCGTTGAACACATAAAGAAAAGAATAGGAGTGGATATTGAAAAACTATTTTGTGATGTTTTTTATAAAAGTAAGTCTTGACTTGCAGAAATGCCGTGGCCAAGGTTACAACAACGACTCAAATATGGCTGGAATTTACGTTGGTTTAATTTTACAGAAAAATCCAACTCTCTATATTCATTGTGGTGCCCATAGTCTTAATTTAGCTGGAGTACATGCAGTTGAATCTTGTGCTGAGCAAACTTTCTTCGGTAATATCCAAGCTCTCTACGTGTTTTTCAGCTGCAGTCCGGCTAGGTGGAAGATTTTGAAAGAATTGACTGGAATCTCTCTTCACAAGCTTTCCGATACCAGGTGGTCAGCTCGGATTGCCGCTGTTAAGCCAATACCAAAACGACCACGGTAAATAAATACTGCCCTTAATCGTACTATATAGGATCTTGACCTTCCTTTTGACATGCTAAATCAAGCTAAGTCTTTGATAAAGTTTTTTAAATCCTTTGAAACTGCTGTACTTCTGACCTTTTGGTATAAAGTTCCTCAAGTAGCCATTTGTTCCAGTCAACTTCACTAATAATAGATGACGAAGTTATTCTAATTCAACAGCTAATTAGCGATTTTAGCCGTATCCGCTCATCATAGAATAATATTTAGACTAAAGCGAAAACTGTTGCAAGTCCTCTAGGCTTTGAAACGGAATTTTTGACAAATCAAAAAAACAGAGCGAAACGGTATTACGATGAACTTGCAAATGCTACTTTCTGCTATGAGAGCCCCATGCATCAATTTTCAGTAAACATCTTCGATGTTGCTATTGATCATTTTATTTATCAAGTTCAGTAAAGATTTGACATAGAAAAGAGTGTTTCTTCAAGATTCTCATTTATCTGGTTGAAATACCAAGAACCAGATTCTTAAGAGATAAAAACTTGTGAATTAGCACAGTTTTACGCTAATGATGTCAAAGAAGACAACTTCATACAAGAAATTTTGTATCTTAATTGTTTGAAAGAGTCTTCTTTTTTTATTCCTGGAAACTCATTGAGCCTTCTCAAACAAATACATTCAAAGAGTCTGCAGCCTATTTTTCTATATGTATGCATTTTAATACGAATTTTTAATACAACGCCAGTATCTGTTGCAAAGGGTGAGCGATCCTTCAGTAAACTTAAATTGATAAAGAATTGTTTTCAGTGGAAAATGAGTTAGCTTAGACTCTGTCATATGATAATATAATAACAAACTTTGCCGTTAAAAAAGCAAGAAAAAAGTGTTTTATACAAGCCGTTTTTTCTTATTTGAATTTCTAAAGAATGTCTAATAATGCATTTATGTTGTATTTGCGTTGCTTAGTTGTATTTTTTTAAAGACGCAATGTTTGAAAATATTGCCGTAAAATGATTTTAACAGGAGTAAACCACAATTAAGAAAATTTATTTTAAAACCATGTGCACTCATATGCAAGATTGTATTTAATAAAGTTTGTTTTTTAAATAATGTATCTTTAAAGGGGCGCCTACTCGACGCTATGCCCCGGGCGCCATAAAAGCTCTCGACGGCCCTGATACACAATAGATTACGTGTTTTAGCGTATTAAAGTTTATTTAAATTATATTTCTTGATACTGCACCAAGCAATGTTAACATAATAATAAATAAAGGAAAAATATAAAAGTTATTAGGTTAATGAAAACTTTAGAAAATAAAAAATAAAAAGTATTCTTTGAGATTTTTACTCAAATTACATTTTCGTCAAAAAGGACACTAATGCTTTTAAAGTTTTTTGCAAAATCAACCCCTACGACAACTTTTTTAGAGTTTAATTTTATACATTTATCAATTATTTGATAAATAACTCTAGCTTTATTTTTATATATGAGTGATTCAAATAATTAGAAGCTTTGTATAACTAAATAATAATTTACTTTTTGGCCCAAATATAGAACTTTCTCAATATTGCTATAAAGGCTCCTTTGATTCAGTTTAGACCCATTTTTGACAAGTTGCTTTTTAGCTTAAATTTTCAATTTCATACTCCAAAATTTGAATGCTTGGTGCATCGATACAATATTCTTAATGATTTATATATCACTCAATAATCAAATTCTGGCATGTGAAAATTAAGTGTATGCTATTGTCTGTCAAGAAATAATCAAATAGAGGATGTGACCTTTTTAAAACAATTAATTTGAAACGTATATTTTCTTGTGTAGAGCAAACAAAAATATTATGTGGTGCTATGGTGATTGAAAAAACATTAAATGGTTTTAATTGAAAAAAAATTGTTTGTATAATAACAATTCTAATAAACTTTCTTCATAGTGTTGATCCAGCGGCTTAATAATGTAGATCCAGGGGCTTAACAGCGCAGATCCGGGGGTGGACGCGTCTGGGTAGATCAAATGCTTAATAATAAGCTTTTTTTTAACTCCATCATCACAAGTTTTAACAAGTCTGATCTGTTTGGTGATGCTCCAGTGCCGGATCAAGGGGGTTATTGTCCCCCCTAGCCCCTTAGGGGGACTATAGCCCCGGGCCCCGCAAATTTAGGGGCCCCAAAAATTTTTAGAGGAGCTTTTTTTTTTTTTTGTAGTCATTTTTAGGCTCTGGCCCATAAAAAGGCCTCCAAAAACAAAAATAGCCCCGGGCTCCAAGAAGTCTTAATCCTCCACTGTGATGCTCTACTTATATCATTTATTTATAGTTATTTATAAACTTATTTATACTTATTAGTAGACCGCTGTTCTATTGTCTAAATAGAACATGGGT